ATATTTGACTTATGCCATCCTATACTTGACTTATGCACATGACCTATACGACTATCCTATATTTGACTTATGACATCCTCTACTGACTTATGCCATCCTATATTTGACTTATGACATCCTCTACTTGACTTATGCCATCCTATATTTGACTTATGACATCCTATACTTGACTTATGCATCTATGGCATATGCTTGACTTATGCATTATATTTGGATGAGGGCATCTATATGACTTGACTTATGACATCCTATACTTGACTTATGCCATCCTATATGACTTTGACTATATGACATCCTATACTTGACTTATGGCATCCTATACTTGATTTATGCCATCATATACTTTGACTTATGACTTATGCCATCATATACTTGACTTATGCCATATGCTTGACTATATTGACTTATGCCATCCTATACTTGACTTATGGCATCCTATACTTGACATATTATACATATGCCATGCTATATTTCACTTATGGCATCCTATACCTGACTTATGCCATCATATACTTGACTTATGACATCCTATAATTGACTTATGGCATTCTATACCTGACTTATGGCATGCTATACTTGATTTATGCTACTTGACATATGGCATCCTATACTTGACTTATGCCGTGCTATACTTGACTTATGCCATCATATACTTGACTTATGACATCCTATGCTTGACTTATGGCATCCTGCTTTGATTTATGCCATCCTATACTTGACATATGACATCCTATACTTGACTTATGATATCATATATTTCACTTATGGCATCCTATACCTGACTTATGCCATCCTATATTTCACTTATGACATCCTCTACCTGACTTATGCCATCCTATATTTGACTTATGACATCCTCTACTTGACTTATGCCATCCTATATTTGTCTTATAGCATCCTCTGCTTGACTTATGCATAGGAATCCTATACTGGATTGATTGCATCTTATGCTTGACTTATAGCATTCTATACTGGATCCAGGGCATCCTATCCTTCATTTATGACATCCTATACTTGACTTATGACGTTCTATGCTTGACTTATGACGTCCTATACTTTGCTTATGGCATGCTATACTTGATTTATGCCATCATATACTTGACTTATGACATCCTATACTTGACTTATGGCATTCTATACCTGACTTATGGCATGCTATACTTGACTTTTGGCATGCTATACTTGATTTATGCCATCATATAGTTGACTTATGACATCCTATCCCTGACTTATGCCATCCTATACTTGACTTATGACATCCTATACTTGACTTATGGCATTCTATACCTGACTTATGGCATGCTAAACTTGACTTCTGGCATGCTATACTTGATTTATGCCATCATATGGTTGACTTATGACATCCTATACTTGACTTATGACGTCCTAACTTTGCTTATTGCATGTTATACTTGATTTATGCCATCATATACTTGACTTATGGCATGCTATACTTGATTTATGCCATCATATACTTGACTTATGCCATGCTATACTTGACTTTTGCCATCCTATACTTGACTGATGCTATCCTATATTTCACTTATGACATCCTCTACCTGACTTATGCCATCCTATATTTGACTTATGACATCCTCTACTTGACTCATGCCATCCTATATTTGACTTATAGCATCCTCTACTTGACTTATGCATAGGAATCCTATACTGGATTGATGGCATCTTATGCTTGACTTATAGCATTCTATATTGGATTGAGGGCATCCTATCCTTCATTTATGACATCCTATACTTGACTTATGACGTTCTATGCTTGACTTATGACGTCCTATACTTTGCTTATTGCATGCTATACTAGATTTATGCCATCCTCTACTTGACTTATGGCATCCTCTACTTGACTTATGACATCCTATACCTGATTTATGCCATCATATGACTCTATACTTGACTTATGGCATCCTATACTTGACTTATGACATCCTATACTTGACTTATGCCATCATACACTTGATTTATGCCATCATATACTTGACATATGACATCCTCTAATTGTGACTGATGACATCCTATACTTGACTTATGGCATACTATACTTGACTTGTGCCATCCTATACTTGACATATGCCATCCTATATTTCACTTATGACGTCCTCTACCTGACTTATGCCATCCTATATTTGACTTATGACATCCTCTACTTGACTTATGCCATCCTATATTTGTCTTATAGCATCCTCTGCTTGACTTATGCATAGGAATCCTATACTGGATTGATTGCATCTTATGCTTGACTTATAGCATTCTATACTGGATTGAGGGCATCCTATCCTTCATTTATGACATCCTATACTTGACTTATGACGTTCTATGCTTGACTTATGACGTCCTATACTTTGCTTATGGCATGCTATACTTGATTTATGCCATCATATACTTGACTTATGACATCCTATACTTGACTTATGGCATTCTATACCTGACTTATGGCATGCTATACTTGACTTTTGGCATACTTTACTTGATTTATGCCATCATACTTGACTTATGACATCCTATATTTGACTTATAGCATCCTATACTTGACTTATGACATCCTCTACTTGACTTATGACATCCTATACTTGACTTATGACATCCTATACTTGACTTATGGCATTCTATACCTGACTTATGGCATGCTAAACTTGACTTCTGGCATGTTATACTTGATTTATGCCATCATATACTTGACTTATGGCATGCTATACTTGATTTATGCCATCATATACTTGACTTATGCCATGCTATACTTGACTTTTGCCATCCTATACTTGACTGATGCTATCCTATATTTCACTTATGACATCCTCTACCTGACTTATGCCATCCTATATTTGACTTATGACATCCTCTACTTGACTCATGCCATCCTATATTTGACTTATAGCATCCTCTACTTGACTTATGCATAGGAATCCTATACTGGATTGATGGCATCTTATGCTTGACTTATAGCATTCTATATTGGATTGAGGGCATCCTATCCTTCATTTATGACATCCTATACTTGACTTATGACGTTCTATGCTTGACTTATGACGTCCTATACTTTGCTTATTGCATGCTATACTAGATTTATGCCATCCTCTACTTGACTTATGGCATCCTCTACTTGACTTATGACATCCTATACCTGATTTATGCCATCATATACTTGACATATGACATCCTCTACTTGACTGATGACATCCTATACTTGACTTATGACATCCTATACTTGACTTATGCCATCATACACTTGATTTATGCCATCATATACTTGACATATGACATCCTCTAATTGTGACTGATGACATCCTATACTTGACTTATGGCATACTATACTTGACTTGTGCCATCCTATACTTGACATATGCCATCCTATATTTGACTAATGACATCCTATACTTGACTTATGGCACCCTACACTTGACTGATGACATCCTATACTAGACTTATGACATCCTCTACTTGACTTATGCCATCCTATATTTGACTTATGCATAGGAATCCTATACTGGATTGATGGCAACTTATGCTTGACTTATGACATCATATACTTGATTTATGACATCCTATACTTGACTTATGGCACCCTACACTTGACTGATGACATCCTATACTAGACTTATGACATCATATACTTGACTTATGACATCATATACTTGACATATGCCATCCTATACTTGACTTATGGCATCCTATACTTGACTAATGGCACCCTATACTTGACTTATGGCATCCTATACTTGACTTATGACATCCTATATTTCACTTATGGTATCCAATACCTGACTTATGGTATCCAATACCTGACTTTTGGCATCCTCTACTTGACTTATGCCATCCTATATTTGACTTATGCATAGGAATCCTATAGTGGATTGATGGCATCCTATACTTGACTTATGACATCATATACTTGATTTATGACATCCTATACATGACTTATGCCATGCTATAATTGACTTTTGCCATCCTATATTTCACTTATGGTATCCAATACCTGACTTATGGTATCCAATACCTGACTAATGGCACCCTATACTTGACTTATGCCATGCTATAATTGACTTTTGCCATCCTATATTTCACTTATGGTATCCAATACCTGACTTATGGTATCCAATACCTGACTTATGGCATCCTATACATGACTTATGCCATGCTATAATTGACTTATGCCATCATATACTTGACTTATGACATCCTATACTTGACTTATGACACCCTATACTTGACTTATGACACCCTATACTTGACTTATGACATCCTATATTTGACTTATAGCATTCTATAATCTACTTATAGCATCCTATACTTGATTATCACATCCTCTACTTAAATTATGGCATCGTATACTTGACTTATGACATCCTATACTTGATTTATGCAATCCTATACTTGACTTTTGCCATCCTATACTTGATTTATGGGATTCTGTTCTTCACTTTGGCTCGTATAACTTAACAATGGAATACTGTTCTTAACTATAGGATACTGTATTTGACTTTGGGATACTCTACCTGACACTAAGATATTACACTCTGCTCTGTTTTACTTAGGTCAAAAGATTCAGATTACCTATCCATGATTCTGTTGCTGCCTTAGTCAAGGTTGATTGTCAGAATTCCTTCCTCTATAAAAGATCGGTCGAGACAGGACAAAAAATGAAACCGCAGATAGAAAGTCAGAACCCTTCATAATATAGGATACAGCATTATGTTCTGGAGTACTATACATCTAACTTACTCAGTGAATAATTGCTATATGGTTATGACATATTAGAGTCCACTCTAAGGACACAATTTCCACCCATTTTATTGATGTTTAATCGTCTGAGTGACTCCAGTTTCATATTACCTGATCCGAGAAGACAATGGCAATCCCTGATAATGACATTTATTGCCTGACAAGCACGATCTCTCATAAACATTTATAGTATGAAACACAACACGATCAACTTTAGTAGCCAATAAACTTTATGATGATAAAAACACATTTTCCTTTGGAAACTTTGACATACAAACATGTAAAACAAGAACAGAATCACTTGATCACAAGAAAAAGTATAAAGACATGTAACTAAAAAAAATTACTTTGGATTTATGTTCATCTTATGGACGAAATACATGTATAATTTCTAACTAAAATGTGATACATTTATACAATGTTCTTATTATGTTTTTTTTAATGTAACAAAATTCTATTACTGCAACCTGACAGTCATTTGTCTCTTCATATGGATACCATCATGATTCGACAAATCCTTTTCAGTGAAATTTCTCAAGCCCTAAGATCTCTGTACAATATGGATTATTCTTGGGGATGTTCGTTGGTAGGTGGTTGTTCAGGAACAATGTAATGCAAGAGGTCGAACTCCTGTAAAGTTCTCATTGCGATACTGTCCCAGCCCTTATTTGCCTGCGGGTTCAGCGGACTTGGGTGTTGGAGACAGTGAACTTTGATATTTGTTATATTCGCCTCCTTCAGTGCTTGAAGAGCTCGTGCTTCAACATAACGCCCTATAGCAACAATGACCTGGACATTGAACATATCAATGAGTTCAAGCAACGCAGCAGAACACGCTTGAGTCAGCATGTTTCTGTCCCAGACAAAAAGCTCTGGGGGAGTAAGGTTTCGCCCTGATCGTGCCATGAATGCCAGTGGACACATGTTATGGATAAGGCAGTTCCTAAAAAAATTCTCTGGAGACTTGCAGTAGTTCTTGAAAAATCCCCAAAACCTTGAGCCACTAACCTGGAAAATAAAACAAACTATGTGTTAGTCACTTAGCGCACAAAATGTTCTCCAAGTGAAAGGCATTTATTATATATCTATTGTTAATCACTAGCCTGTTAAAGTATTTACAGCACATTTCAAATGGAATGAAACATTACGACGTAGTAATCTATATGGATACAAAACAGAAATATTCACAAGGACAAATCCTAAGTCTAGTATACTGAAATGATGAAGAAATGCAACTTCTTTAATTGTAAAATATTTCATATTGAATATACATAGCTGTTTAAAAACAAGAGGAAATTAGGGCCCCTCATGATATGTATTCCCAAATAAATATTAAAAGTCTTGTCATTCATCACAGAAAACTTGTTCACATCCAGTGCACCTAAATTACCAATGTACCATGAGTGTACAGATGCATGTGTTCTTTCACATTCAAAAAAGCATCAATTTCTGAATATCACTAAGAAGCATGATCACAAATACATTTGCAATCCATCAATATTTTTACAAAAATGCCATGGCTATCTCAACTTGGTAGAGAAAGGGCACCCACAATGCTCATGAGAGGTAGCAATCAACAGCAGGTCGCTACTCACATCCGAGTTAAAAAATCAACTATAAGTCAGTTAGTTTTATGTCTTAATGCTACACAAAGAGTTGATGACAAACCAAGATCTGGTAGTCATTGTTTAACTATAAGTCAGTTAGTTATATGTCTTAATGCCACACGAAGAGTTGATGACAAACCAAGGTCTGGTAGTCATTGTTTAACTATAAGTCAGTAAGTTATATGTCTTAATGCCACACGAAGAGTTGATGAGTGACCAAGGTCTGGTAGTCATTGTTTAACATAAAGATCACTTCATTAGGCTTGCCAACATATGAGTAAGGAGATTAATCGAATGGAATATCATTCCTCTATGGACAGTCAATGTCCTTATGAACTCCATGCCATGCAGAAATAGCCACCCTTGCTATTTGGGGAGGACACATACAGCATAAGGGATCCACCTGACAACTACTGTTATTTCAACTTTATATATATTTGGGTACCCTAATTCATGGTGGCATAATGACGTCTTTGAACCCAGAAATTATGTCCAGAGGGATGGAGCCACATCCAAGGGCCTGTTATTACATCATCAATGTGTTTCTTTTTTTATGTCCATCATGGCTATATATGGTTATGGGATGGGGATCTCAACTGTATCAAAGATATAAGACATTTCCCCTATTAGACCCCACCCCTTCTGCCACAGGGTGCTGAGACCCACCATTTATACAAAATTATTTTCCTTTCACCAAAACATCTTTCACAACAAATTTGGCAAAATCTAATAATTTCTACATGAGGAGTAGGATTTCCTGTAATAGGTCATGCCCATCTCACTCAGGGGGAAATGGAGGGCAAGACCCATTGATTATACAAACCGGATTCCCCTTCGCCTAAAGATGATTCAGACCAAATTTGGACAAAATCCAAACATTCCTTCATGAAGAGTAAGATTTTTATGTATTTGCTCTATTTTTACCTATTAGGCCCTGCGCCTCCCACTCTGCTGGCCAAGTCCCATCCTTTATACAAAATTGATTCCTTTTTGCCAAAACATGATTCAGACCAAATTTGGACAAAATCCAACAATTCCAGCAGAAGGAAATGGATTTAAAAGGACTTTCTCTAATTACCTTATTGGGCCCCGCCCCTACCACTTGGGACTGGAGCGAGACACACCATTTCCACAAAATTGATTCCCTTTCACCTAAACATCCTTCAGGTCAAATTTAGGCAAAATCCAGTCTGTTGACCAGAAGGAGCAGGATCTTAAATAATTAGATCTATTTACCATATTGGGCCTCGCCCCTTCCGCTACAGGGGGCGAAAACCCATCGTTTATATAAAATTTATTCCCCTTCACCCAGACATGATTCAGACCAAATCTGGGCAAAATCCAATCATTCCTATAGGAGGATTAGGATTCTAAAGAACTTTTTGCCTAGCCCTTTTAGCCCTTAGGGGTCTGGATACACCATTTATGCAAAATCTGTTCCTATTTCCCAAGTGATACTTCTAACCAGATTTGGTCAAAATTCCCTCAGGCGTTCATGATAAGTAGCATTTTGCAGAAAAAGTTGACAGACGACGGCCGCCGCGTATCCCAGGTGAGCTAAAAACTATGGATTCCTAGTGCTAAGAAAGAGAGTTAGAACAAATTTGTGTGACCATTCCAGGACTACATATTGTACTGTCACTTTCATCAGACCTAGTGTCAAAATTCAAAATGGCAAATGGTGGTGATTTAGAGAATCTGATTAAACTTAATAGATGACAGGCATATCCACAAACAATAATGAAAATGTTCACAAAGTTTCAAGGAGACCTAAGAAATTATTTACAGTACAATTTGACAGGACATAGATCAAAAGTGATGCACACATGCCATATACATCTATTATTCAGTCCAGTACATTAGTTTTGATATCAGAGGGTTTAAACCTATAAATAAGTGACACCAATAGCTATCATTATTCGATCAACTGACTGCAAAGTTTAGCTGTCACCAAAACCTGGCATAACCTATTATAAGAATTTTCAAGTTCACAATTATTATCAAATTTAGACAGATTTTTATGACTGGTATACAAACAATATCAATGGAAATTCCTGTGATGAAATAGCCAAAGAATTCAGAATTTTACCATAACATTTATATTTAATTCTGCTGAGTTCCTGGATATATCAAGACGACCAAGAAAAACAACTTTCTGTCAGTATACAGACCTCTGAGCGATGGCAGGATAGCCCCATTACAGGTCGCTTGGGATGTTCCCGCGCTGGTTTGTGCACAGTGCCCTGTATACCGAGCCAGTCTCGCACAGTCCCCACCTCACCAAATGGTACCTAAAAGAAGAAAACCATGCATACTTCAACATTCTAGATTATACATAACTAAGATTTTGTGAACCCAAATGAAATACAAATAAGAGTTACACAGGATTAACCCTTTCGGCGCCGTAGGCGAGTAAAGTGGACATGCAGAGAGGCCGCCATAGGCGACTAAAGTCCACATGCAGACAGGCCACCGTAGGCGACTTTGGTTGACAATTTTTATATCTTTATCATCAGCCAAGATATGCTTGTTTCAGTAATGCTGCCATTGTTTCGGATATTTTCCTGAAAATATTTGGTGCTGAGCTGTACATTGTAAGAGATATTTGGCGCTGAGCTGTACATTGTATGAGATAATTGGCCCTGAAAGGGTTAATGATGTCTGTCTAGTTAACATAGTTTGAATACATGAATATATATTTGACTCAGTGAATCTAGTAAAAAGTTCAAACTTGGTATTTGGTATAGATAGATAGATAAAGAGTACATATACTTACTCCATTCTGAGACATCCCAAAAGGCCCAGGGTTCATCCCAAGGAAAAGTATAGGTTTCTGTTTGTTGGTGAACCTTCTGACAAAGTCTGCATGAGTCTCAAAAGCGTACACTAGTGGATTGTAGATATGGGAAACAGGTTTCTGAAACTGGATCCCGCGAAGTTGATTACATAACTTTTGTTCGAGCATCAAATATTGGTCAGAGAGAGAATATTCCCCATCTAAAACGGAAAAGTTAAATATTGTCAAAATTGGTCGTCTTGTTTCTGGTTCCTGTTTAATAGCAACACTTTTCACTTCACCATCCTTTGATTCTGTATCATCCTGAGATTTTTCGGAAGTTTTTACTAAATTATTCTCAAATGGTGCTTCTGTTCGGTGTTCTGAAACCATGTACCAATGATTACACAAACTATAGTCATAATCGTCATCACCATCTGGATCTTCCTCTTTCATCTTACGTTTTCCATATCCCTTGCTGCGTTTTTCCGGACTTTTGCCGTAGCCCTGTTGATGTTTCACGAGGTCATCATAATTTGAAGGTTGTTGTTGTCCATATGGCATCATTCCTGGTGGAAACTGGCCATATTGTAGCTGGCGTTGTTGTGACATGTAGTAGCTGTTGGCCACTGGGGCCCCCCTGTCCATCATTGGGTAGTAAGGACTTCCACAACCTGGTAGTTTCTCCAGTTGCGAGTAGTAGGAGTTTGCACTCTGTGTCAAAGTATCTGGATGTCCATATACTGATGGACTAGAGGTCATTGGGAGTCTTCCTTGCAGAGAATACATGAACTCTGGGTTTAATACTGGTGACATTTTGCCCTGGTGCTGATAATATGAATAAGGACTCCCTGCATCTATTGTGCCCTCAGAGCTTGTAAATGATCCTGCTCCAGGGGGAAGTCTGCTTCCCGGGGGTAGACTAAGAAATCGAGGGTCCACACTTTCAGACAATGAATAGCTGGCACTGCCATCACCTGATGGGGGCCCTCGAGAGTAGGGAGAGTTGGATGTGGTTGACAACTGTTTTGGCTGGGTCGAGGGATAGGAGCCTCCTTCACTGCTTGGCAGTAAACCTGATGTAGGATAGGTGGAGCTGGCAGTTGTAAGCAACCCATGCTGAAGACTGTAGTTTATACCACTATGAGCATTTTGAGGACCACTGTGGCTGGAATGGGCTGCAGGTGGCTGCTGAACAGTGTGAGCACTAGGTGGCACTGGACCACCAGTTGTGTTGGCATAGTGAGAAGACGCAGAACTGGTAGAGATTCGGTTCTGCTTAGAATATACTGGGTTTTGTATCCTCTGAGATAAAGTGTAGCTAGCACCTTCAGATGGTGTCAAACGATCTGAGAGTGAAAAGTCTGGATTTGCACTGGCCATATTATCAGGATAGTTAGAATTGGGAGTAAGTCTTTCAGAGTGAGCAAATGTGTTGTTGGTAGCACTATGATGTCTTTCAGTTAAAGTGGAAGCATAGCTATTTGTACTAGATGTGGGTCTATTGGAAAATTCTGCTGCTAGATTGGCTGACAATCCATCCCGAAGTGAAGGGTAATCTGCTTCAGGATTGTTGGTTTGTAGTCCACGGTCAGATAAACTATAATTTGAACCAGAGCATGGAGTGAGCCTGTCTGACAGGGCATAATTTGATGATGCTGCATTCGGAGTCAGCCTCTCCGACAAATTATAGTTTGTGCCTACTCCAGCTGTTAACCTTTCAGGAACAGCAAAATTTGAAATACTACCTGGTGTGAGACGCTCTGAGAGAGAGTAGTTTGTGGCAGTGGCCCCTGGAGTGAGTCTTTCTGAAGCAGTGTAACTGGTGGCACTTCCTCCTTGAGTCAGGCGATCAGGCATGAAGGTAGGCCCTGCTGTAGATTGTAACCTTTCCGGCAGGGAGTAGTCAGTATTCCCACCAGATGCCTGACGATCCACATAATTTGATGCCGAATTCTGAACTAACCGTCCATGCAGAGAATAGTCCAGACCTGGCCCTGAACTAGTGGACAATGGATCCGCAAGGGAATAATTTGTGTTTCCTCTTGCCCCAAGACGGTCTTGAGAAGGGTAGTCCATGGAGGATCCCATGGACAGGTTGTCAGCAGATGGAAAGTTCATACCCATACTGCCGGGGAGAAACTTCTCTGACAAGCTGTTCAACACAGTCTCCGGTATATCCATGGTTAATTCACTAACACTAACTCAGGCTAATGGTATTCCAAAATGATTGAAATCTGAGCAGTTTGATTCTCCACATATATAAAAGACATATTTAAAAAAAATTCTTAACAATTATTAATACTGTGATAACTAACATTAAGTTGATGGTAAATTGGAAAATAATTTTGAAATTTTGCGAAATTGTAGATTCGTTTGACACAAAGTAGAGAGAAATATTTGACAAACATTTCTTAAAAGGTCAATAAAATTAAAATGATATTTTCAATTCTAAATTGATAATTAGGTTTGCTGACATTGAATGCTTGGTAGCAAATGTCAAAGTAACAGTACTTTATCATATGCCCTAATGCAATATAACATACAATTCATTTTCCTGCAATGATTTATATTAATTTCATAATTAATTTAAAATATATATTTAAAGTAATTTATACTTTTATTGTATTTCTAGTCATTACGTTCAGTATTGACAACTGCATTTACAATAACAGTATCGAGTAAATATTATGATTAAAAAACTTTTACTTAGTCAAATTTGATTTGGCATTAAGTAATGAGTTTAAATCACAACCTCTTCCTTTTCAAATCATTATCAAGTTTTAGTTAGCTTTCTTTGCTACATTTAAATCTTAAAATTATTCATGATATTTTTACAGATATCTCACTGATGCCTAAAACATTTATGTCAATCAAAATTTCAAAAATCAATCAAAGAACTGCAATACCGTTACCGCCCGCGATAAAATAGATACATATTTCAGAAATATATTTGAAGAAAAGAAAGTTCTATAGCTTGGAGCTAAGGAACCATTTATAATCAACAGCTGAGAGACTGAGGACAACATATAAAACCTTCAAAGATTAAAAAGGTGATTCATCCCAACAATGTAGATAAATTATAATAAAAAACAATCAAAGTAGAAAAATCTTAAGAAGTTTGAAGAAAGCATGTCATCACAGTCTATAGAAATTATTTCAAAATTTAAAAAAAAAAAAAACAAATTGTACACACAAGGTGCAGGAGATACATTCCTAAACTTTTGGACCACTTGAAACTAGAGCAGGCAAATTCACAAGATGTGATGCCACAGATTTGATGTTTTCTCCATTGCTTGTGTTTTTAGGTTTGGTTACTATCCATGTTAGATTCCGTAAGAATAACAAATTAATAATTGATAGCAAACTCAGCCACCTCCATAACACTTAAATCCAGCTCAAGTCTTTCTACATCCTTATATGAATCGTAGAACCATGTCTGGTGACATTTCCTTGGGAATAAAGAAATTGGTGGTCTGTGCCAGGATTGCATGTCTGATGTCACTCAGTTGTAATGGTGTGGTTGTCAGTCCTCCGGTCTTAAGTCCCGACACTAAACCGTTATCAGTCCATGGGTTTTAGTCCTGACACCAAATTCTAACACAAAGCCACTGCACTTATGTGACTACAACTATAGTTGAACATCCAAGTATGTCTTCAACTGTAAAATTACATTAAAAGTTTATTATTTTCATCATCATTTCAATCTAAATATACAGAATACATATCAGAGATAAAGATGAAAAAAAGTGTAAATGGAAAAATAAAAGGCATAGGAAGTGGTCTTCTTGACTTCAAGAAATATGTTATATATAGAAAAGAGAGTCTCTTTGCCAATCCTTCTGCATACAACCCTAGAAAATTAGAAAATTCATTTTTGTTTGCTTAATTCCCCTAAGATAACTATTTGTCAGTTAAAGTGAAGACAACTTCTTGATTTGTTTGTTTTTATAATGAACCCCTGAAGTTCTAATATCTGGAATATTAGAATTATGAAAGTAGAAAGGCACAGATGACAAAATGGCATCTAAAAAGAACAATATATGAAGGGATCTGACTCACAGATTTTTTTTTCTATCCATCCCAATAGTTTGATCATTATTTGATATTCAAAAGTCTTTAACAGGGACATTTTCACTTCCTTTCCAATATCGTTTTTTGTCTTAATAATAAGGATGTACATCTTGAGTGCTGCAGACAACAGAGCATAGCTCTATAAAGACTAGCTTATATGACTGATGAAGGAGACACCTCCCTTCCCGTACATGTTACCTCTGAAAATGCTATAGTTCATCAAAAGAGAAGCCGATCTCGTAAGGTTATCTGAAATAATACTCTTGAAACCAAAGTGAAATGTAGTTTTGACACTAATATAAAAGTACCCCCCAAAAACACAAATTTATCTAAGTTTTTAATATATTTGATTTAAATCAGAGTTTTCTCTGTGTTTATGTGAAGAATTATTATTATTATTATTACATTCTTAATGACCCGTCAACACATAAAAGGTCATTAGGGCCATCAAACGGTAAAATTATGTGAAGAAATCTGTTCTTCATTCCCCTAAGTATTACAATGCCAACATAAGCATCATGATGTCACAAAATATATAAAAACATAAAACAATACTATCATAAAAATTGTATTATCAATCAGTCAATGCATTTTGGCAAACATAGGAATCCAGGACATCTAAAATAAAATACTTGCCAATTGTAAACGTAATTTCTCTCCATGGTCTGATCTATTTACAGTCTAAAGTTGGTAAAAAGTAAGGTGTTGCGAATAAAAAAAAAAAAAAAAAAAAATTTACATGGAAGTTTGTTATGGTTTTTACCAATATCTAACATAGTACAAACATCTATCAGATACAGCAGAATTTCCTGCCATCACGGTTCTAGTGATTACTCTTAATGAACATCTTTTTACAAAGCTTGACACCGGTTATTGTTTTGCAAAATTCAGAGAGTAAACAACAACTACCCATTTAGTATCTTACAACTCAAATCAAAGTGAAAGTAGCATTAAATCATGGAAATTACACATAAGTATTTTAAACATATTTACTATAAATTATTTCTTAACCGTTTAGCAGGATTTTCACTGTTTGGACTGGATTAGTATTTCATCACAAACTTATTTTCAACCCCATGTTCTTTTTTCTGTTGATGAAGAAAAGGAAAATAGAATCGGAGTGCTGCAGTAAGCTTTGTTTATCGTTAAGTATACCTTTGAACTTTGACCTCTAACTAAAGCTAGAAGTTGACTCTTTACAGAATGTTGTCTTCTTAGTATCCATAGCAATTGGTCACGGAAGACCAAATATCATCTTTCTGTGAAACTTGATTATCGAAAACAGAAGAAGTTTGTCAAAACTAGCACATTATATTTTTGATTCGAATTGGGAACCAGAAGATGAATTTTCAGGCAAAGTTTTTAAAATACTTTCAATAGCAATTGATCACAGCATGCTGCTGAAAAAATTTCATCACTGTATGCCTCTAAGTTATTAAGAAAATCTGATTAAAGTAAAAAAAATACATATTGACACTTGTGACCTTGAAAGTGGGTCAAAGGTCAATCATATTAACAACCTTTATAGCCAATAACCTGAGCGTCTTATTAATGAAATATCCAGTCTCAAGATCTTGTAGATTTTGCCAAAATTTGTTACCAAAAATAGCTTTTTTTTAACCATAACAGCAAACCAGAAGTTGATCTTTCAGACAGTGTGTTATTAAAACATTCAATAGCAAATGAACACAGTATGCAGCTAATCAAATTTTATCACCCTGTGGCACTTGGTTATTGTAAAAATGCTGATTTAAGATTTTAAGAAAATTGACTCCTATGGCCTAGAATGTGGTCAAAATCATTTATATTAAGAACCTAGATAGCAAACAACAAGAGCTTCCAATATATCAAACACCAAGGCTCTAGACCTTGCCTAACTTCAAGAAGTTTGTGCAAGTCAGTTACCCTAAAATACCCTAAACTTTGACATATTTTGTATCAACATGTCACTTGAAATTTTAGATATGAAAATTATCTCCGATAGCATAAATGCATGAACTCTGTGAAATCACTGATTTTCGAGATATGGCTATTTTAATTTTTTTTAACATATGATATCATGGTGGCCATATTGGATTTATGAATTACTTAAAAAAAGTTGTACTAACACCTTCAGATACCTCCTTACAAAATACTAAGTAGATTATAAACCTATTCCATGACTAGCTAAAGTTCTGGAGTTCACAAATTTCAGAATAATGACAATAATAATAATAGAAAAATAATAATAAACATAACAATAACAATAGGTGTTATTACCAGTTGGTGAAAAATCCTAATAGACAACAAGAGGCCTAGGGGTGTATATGGTCACCTAAGTGAACTCACAAATTAAAACATATAGAATGAATATGTAATACAGAGAAGATTAAATGAAATATGGTATTTGTACAGGGACAGAGTAGTTTTACTGTTGTTGCAACTGGGGTCATGGATTTTTTTATCTTAATAATCCATCTTTAGACCCTTATATCAATGATGAGCGGTGAATGGTGATTCTACCATATGTGGATACTGAGAAGATATTTTTAATCTTTGACAGTTTTTGACTATACCAATCAGCCAGAGTCCCTACGAGCATAAAATCAAACTGTCATCCTATACTAAGAACTATGTTTTATCTATTTCAAATAGAAAATAAACAAATTATACTTAAAGTGTGATTTTTCTTTATAAACTATAATAAACTTCACCTCTTTCTGCCCTGGGGGAAAATGCGAGAATTTGGGGTAACAGAATTTACATTTTTGGCAACGGGCACCATATAATTTACAATTTTGGTTCATCTTTGGTCACAGAGGGTTTTTGCCATGATTCACTAATATCAGTTCAGATGTTTTCCAAAAGAAGTAGAAAATGAAAAAGTTTACAAATGAACAATATAAGGTACCAGAAAAATATGTTACTTTGTAACTTTAATCTCATGTGATGAATTAATAAAACAAAAACAAAAACAAAAACTGAAATAAAACTTTATATTGACAAGTATCTTTTCAAATGAAGTGCTCTTTTCTGGACTTGGCTTGTTTCATATAATGACATTTGAAAATTCCTTTTCAGAAAATAGTGATAATTATCTTTAACTGTCAATTCCAAGATGGTTGTCAGTGGTCCATAATAGTTTGCAAATTGGTCTCAAAATTGAAGAGGGCACAGCAATGGCCAAACGGGAACCTATATCTGTCAATCTTAGAAAGATCAATCCAATCCTACCAAGACAATGATAACAAAATTTCACAACAGAAAATTTACATGTGAAATCTGGGAAAAATCTTTTCTGAACTTCTCAGGAAATTATGATAACAATCTTTCATTGTCAGAACCTGATATGGATGCCAAACACCATTTTAGTATGACGTTAAAAGCATGTCTTCCTTACCCATTTTTATCGATCTAGAGGTTGCGAAATAATTGGTAACATGTGAATGGATGTGATTACACTCAATCAGGAAGTAACATGAAATGGATAACATAACCATATACTTTGATTGCCCCTCCCACAATCCTTCTGTCTCAGCATGTCTCTTCCCTTGATCATCCTACATTACCTAGTACAATATTCTCTTTCCAATCTTTCACCATCATCGCGAACAATTTTGTCCGTAATGATCTTCCTATATCATCAAATACAATGTCCTCCCTAACAAACCTCCTATATTCATCATTAACCATTATAAACCAGTTTAGATTATCCAGGCCTTTGATAAATTCTTATCCAAGGGTGACGCCTGGCTGTCCAGTCGAGAACGAAGTCTCCCTCTCCATGTTCGGCAATCCAATGGATTAGTGTCACCCATTCCTTGGGATGTACGGTTCCATTTCTCTAGGTCATCCCAGGTCAGTTTTGGTCTACCCGAGGACCGATGACAAGTGACATTTAGGGTAAGGATCCTTGATATCCATCCTTCACTGCGTTCTACATGGCCAAACCATCTCAACCTGCTAGTCTGGAGAAGTTCTGAGATACCTTTGATGTCTACTTGAGCGAGAAGAGACTCTATGAGAACAGCGTCTTCCGTTTTGACCAGGCGGCTTTCTGAACTTTTTCCATGGTGACTTGCATCTTGTTGTTACAGTACATTCACATCCAAGTCCAGATGACAACATATCACCAAGGTAGTAGAAGTCTGTTACTACTTCAAGCTTTTGCTCATCAACTGTTACTTCTGGCATTTGTCTACCATCGATGGGACGAGTAAGTCCATTGCAGCCAGGGCATTTGTAGTTCAGGTCAGACTTGATCCCTTGATTCCACTACACTTCTTTTGCATCAAAGTAGAACAACTCTTGCAGAGGATGGAGTTTCTTCCCATACTGTTGAGGCAGACAGCACATGGATACTTTCCTGATCATCTTAGGGTATCCAGATTTGGACCTGAGACCATTACCTTGGTCTTATTCATGTTGACTCGGAGCCCTTTCTCCTCCATACTCTTCTTCCATGTGGCCACTCTCTCCATCACCGATTCAATGGAAGTGTCAGCAATGACAAGGTCATCAGCGTACAGGAGCTCCCATGGGCAACTTACTCTGAAATGATGTGACAACACTTCCAGAACGATGATGAATAACAATGGACAAAGTACTGATCCTTAATGGACACCAACATTGACATCAAACTGATCGCTGTAGCTGTCCCCTACTCAAACTCGGCTTCTAGCATCAGCATACATGGTCTGCACAGTCGAATATTATCATGTACAATGTCCCCTCCCCTGATCTTCCAACAGTATCATGTACAATGTCCCCTCCCCTGATCCTCCAACAGTATCATGTACAATGTCCCCTCCCCTGATCCTCCAACAGTATCATGTACAATGTCCCCTCCCCTGATCCTCCAACAGTATCATGTACAATGTCCCCTCCCCTGATCCTCCAACAGTAACATGTACAATGCCCTTCCTGATAATTCTCCTACATTTCATGTACCATGTCCTCTCCCATAATTCTCAAACATTTTCATGTACATTGTCTTCTAAAACGTTCCTCCTACAGTATCATATACAATGACCAACCAACCCCAATAATCCTCTTTCTTTTTTTTTGCTGTAAACTTGAAATCATATTCTTTTTACATGCTCTACATAACTGCCACCACTCGGGACATACTGCTTGTTGAAAAAGCAAGTCAAAGGCCCAATATCAAGGCGCTTGACCTTTAAGGTATTGAAAAGAAGCCATTCACACATTGTAACATTTAGGATACCTGTGACCTTGAAAGTGGCTTAATGTCATTCCGAGTTGGTAGTCCTTCATCCAAGCATGCTACAGGCTTAATATCATCATCTTTGGTCATTTGGTTATTGAAAAGAAGCCATTTTGACATATTTGACCCCTGTGACCTTTTAAACAGATCAAGGTCATTCCTATTCACTAGGGGTCAAATCAACTTTCAGAATTTAAGAAATGATTTGCCACTACCAGTGATGTTTTCATCTGAATTTGGTTCAAATCCATTCAAGCATTAAGAAAGAGTAGCAAAACCTTGTATAAATTCCTCTTTTGGCGCCCTGTCCCCAAGTCCTACAGGTCAGGTCCCGCCCCAAAATCTGTAGGGATCAAATCAAATTACTGAATTTAAAGAAATGATTCCCCACTCTCGATGATTTTTCAGACCACATTTTTGTTGAAATCCATTCTAGCATTATAAAGGAGAAGCATTTTTGAAGCAAAACTTGGTCTTATTTTCCTTTTTTGGGCCCTGTTCCCAAGTCCCTAGGGGTCAAATCAAATGAATTTAAAAAATAATTGCCTACCCGAACTGATAAATCAGGCCAAAGCTTGTTGAAATCCACCCAGGCAAAAAGGAAGATAAGGGTTTTAAATCTAATTTCAGCACCAACCCCTTTGGGTCCCTGTCCCTCGACCCCTCAGGGATTTAATAAAACAATCTTAACATAAGAAATGAAAACTCACATCCAATGATGCAGCAAACCAAATTTGGTAGAATGAAAGAGATGTAGGGTTTTAAAGGAAAACTTTATACACACTGGATGATGCACGAAGGACGAAACACTATGACTATAGGCCATCTGACCTAATGACGATTATATGTTGGAGCAAATTGAACTATAGTCAAACTACTACATCTGTGGATCAATCTACATTTTTCCAGTGTTGAAAACTTGACTCTAAAGCTTAAGAATCCTTCTAATAGTCGGTCTTGATCATTATTTTCCTCAGGGTCTAATGACCTGGTAACAAAAAACACTAAAAAATACATTTGATTCAACAGAAAGATTCATTCAAAATCAGAAGAATGAGACAAAACAAATAAAAATAACAGTAATAATGAAAAACAAGCAAAAACTTAAGCAAAAACAAAAAATACTCATGCAATTTACAAATATACATCAATGGAAGCATACAGGTTAATTTCAATTCAACAAGATCTTTTTTTTTCCTTTTCAAATTAGTCCCAGTTCTAGTCATTTTATGCAAACTTTCACATTTATCTTTTAATATACATTAAGTACCGGGTATATTTTGTCATCATTTGTCTTTCTTCCTAGAGATCTACACACAAGCACAGTCAATCTTTGTCACCTACACACTAGAAATGTCAATCTTTGTTACCTACACAGTAAAATGTCAATCCTTGTCACCTACACAGTAAAAGTGTCAATCTTTGTTACCTACACAGTAAAATGTCAATCTGTGTTACCTACACAGTAAAATGTCAATCCTTGTCACCTACACACTAGAAATGTCAATGCCTGTCACCTACACACTAGAAATGTCAATCCTTGTCACCTACACACTAGAAATGTCAATCCTTGTCACCTACACAGTAAAATTGTCAATCCTTGTCACCTACACACTAGAAATGTCAATCTTTGTTACCTAGACAGTAGGCCTGTCAATTGTCAATACTTGTCACTCAATTCCCAGTCATCTGTACAATTGCACTGTCATTCAAAGTCACCAATACAGTAGGTCAAACATGAAATATTTCATGTTTCCATTGCACCTACCTACATTCTCCATCTACCCGAAGTTTTTCATGGCAATATTTTCATAGAGGCACTGTTAAGTCAAAATATTTCTCCTCTATATAAACCACATAAAATTATTTGCTAAGATTGAAATTTTTACCTACCTATCTGTACCCTAATTTTTATCAAATATGTTACAACAAGCACATGAAATTTGCATGTGGCTCAAATACTACTATCAATCCTAGTGACCTTTACACTAGTAATGTCCTTGTTACCTATACAATGGAGTTGTCAGTTTTGGTGACCTACATGTATACAACAGAACTGTCAATCTTAGTCGCTTATAAAATCGTAGTCAATCCTTTCACCTAAACATCAGAACTGTCAATCCTAGCTATCTATATAATTGTACTGTCCATCTTAGTTTCTAACAAAAAGTACTGTCAATCCATGTCACCTACACACTAGTTCTGTCAATACTTGTCACCTTAACAATATTTACTGCCAATTCTTGTCACTTATAGACTAACACTGTCAATCCTAGTGACCTGTAAAGTAATACTGTCAATACTAGACACCTGTAAAGTAATACTGTCAATCCTTGTCACCTCAACAATAATTCTCTCAATGCTAGTCACCAATACATAATTATGGCTGTCAATCCTTAGTCAGTTCTGGTTTTAACTCTAAACAGAGAATTGAAGACAAGATGTCACTAAAAATTGTTCAAGAAAGAAAGTAATGCTCCTTGTGGAAAGAATGCAAAGTATAAAAATTCTCAAATTCAATGTCAAGTATTATCAAACCAATAAAAGAAAAAAAAAATTACATCAAAGTTTTCTTGGAATGCAGTTAGTGACATTCGCTATGCAGGAGAAAGAGGGACATCTTTCGTTGTGGTAATACAAGATACACATACCAAAGTAGGGATTTTTGTTTGAGAAATATCCACAATGCTTATTAAGATGCAACTACAGCAAATACAAAGAGTAATACATTTAAAACTATCATATTCCTAATGGAAATCAGTCAACTTGTAAATATACAACTGTCATATAAAACAAAAACAGAAAAAGACTAAAGAACAAGGAGACTAACTGGTGAAACATAAGAAGTGTCTTTTCTGGAATTTCTGAGCCAATCCCAGTAGCATTTACAATTTTTCATGGTCCATAACTAGGATGGCCATCTTTCAACCACCTTCGTTTCCATTCATTCATTACAACAGGCACATGTAAGGATCAGGAAAAATGCACATGTTACATTTTAAAAAGATCCTACAAGTTCTTTCTGGGACAGAAAAATATGAAAATTGAGCACTCACTACCAAAGATGGCAACCCTTCAGCCATCTTATTGCTTTCATCATGATAAGTCCTCAGAAATGTCATATGTACTATTAGGAATTCAAATCAATATGGAATTGAAGAAATCTGTGTGTAAGATTTCATCGTTGTTCCTCCTGCACTCTTGTTGTAACAGCAAAAACCATCTTTAGTATTCAATATAAAAGGTCAACAGCCATACATTGCCAAAGAAACCCAACAAGTAGAACCTGGTGGTAAAATTTTTGCAGATGATGATATATCCAGTAGTCTGAAAAAGCATTTTGTGGAGAAAAAACTTCTGTCTCAATTTCCAAAAAGACAATACAATAGGATTGATTTGATTCCATGTGAGCCTTGTAACTGTTAAGCCTTGCAATTGGTCACAAAATTTGCAAGCTTATTTTGCAACTCTTCTTGAGGGATAGCATAAACTTTCAATCTCAAATTAAAGATGGCTGACAAATAAGTCTCCGAAAACCAATACCACTACACTCACATGTTGGGATTAATAGGAACTTACAAGAGTGAGTTTGCAAATAATCCCTCATGTATTTCCTTTGATGAAGTGATGATCATCCTCAAAATCAAGGTTTAAATATTTTCAGCTTCTGAGTAGTCCAAAAATACATTACGCATAATAAGGGATATTATCAAACTTTTAAGTGAAAGTTAAGCGACAAACCACAGACAAAGAACTTTGTTGCCTGTTATCTCTTGCCGCTGATAACAGTGGAAGGGAGATAACTCTGTACTAATTTTTGAAGATTTAAATGGGTATCAAAATTTTGGTTAAGTGTAACTGATGTAATCGCCAGTAACCACTTTAATTTGATGGAGAATAGGAACTTGTGGTTGGTCTATAATCTACACAATCGCTGTTCATTCACTGACATTGCATCCACTGGTAACAGAAAACCATTCTGGCTGCTCTTTTCATCAACTTAAATACTCAGACTGTTTGGTCGGGAATATTTGGAATTTTCTTTTTTGTGAGTCAGTGCTTCTACAATTTGACAAGGCAATGGTACTACTACAATTCGACAAGGCAATGGCACTCAATGTAATGTCTCATTTCAAATGCAATACCTGAAAGGATATATGTATGAAGCAGATTAACTCTCTTCTGGGATCACCATTTGGTGACTCCACTATGACTAAAAGCATTTTATTTCAAACAAAAGCAGCTATCTTTTTTTTTCATACTTCTATAGGGATCAGATCAAGGACCAAAGTGCTAACTTTTGATTGCTATAACTCTGTCTTAATGAATTGAAAAATTAATTTAGACCTGTTATCCACTGATCAATTGTGGTTTCCTCCTCTTTAACAGTACTAGTCTTCTCTACAGTGGATTTTACACAGTTTTTTGACTCAATATTCATTTCCTCTTTAAGAGATTCCTCACCAAAACTTTTAATCTCAATAGACATTTCTTCTTTGACTGGTTCCTCATCAGTCTGAATCACACTGATTTTGTTTGCTTCAACCATTTTTGTGCTCTGTTTTCTTTTGGAAGGTGGATTTCCAGTTTGTGATAACTTTGCTTTCAAATTATGAGATGCCAATTTAACGTCTAGAGATGGGGATCTAGTCTGAATGTTTGAACTCTGCTCAATTTTCTTTTTCAAGTGTCCTGGTTCTTCTGAATGTTTCTCTTCCTCATGCCGCAGTAAGTACTCTACCCTGGTAAACCCTTTGTCACACTGCGTACACTGAAACTTCTTGAAACCTTTATGAGTTTTTTGGTGGACATTCAGATTGCCTTTTTGACTAAAACTTTTGCCACATTCACAGATGTATGGCTTCTCTTTGGTGTGGATTCTCATATGCTGCTTCAGAAGATAAGGTTTAAAAAACTTTGCTGGACAAATGCTGCAATTGAAAATTTTACCTTGCATTGGACTATGAGTCATTTCATGCTCAACAAGAACAGATTTGAGAGCAAACTTTTTATCACAATGAGTGCATGAAAAGTGTGTAGACGGATCACTATGGATTCTCTGATGCCTCTGTAGAGCACACTTTCCAGTGTATGATTTGTCACACTGTTCACATTTGTAGCTTCGCTCTTTAGAGTGCACAGTACGTACATGCCTATTTAACGTGGATCGTCTCAGAAAGGACTTGCCACAAATTTCACAGGAGTCCAACAGGATGTTAAAGTGCGATCGCAAATGTATATTAAGTTCTGTTGAATTAAGAAGCCTCTTACCGCAGATATGACATAGATGGGTTTGTTGTCTCATTCTGACAAATTCTGGATCATGACTCATAATATGTTTACGAAAGTTTTTAGTATGCTTAATGAGTTTTGAACAGATATGACAGGTTTGTGGTTTATCTTCATCATCAACCAATTTATCATCTTTTTCTTTTATCATTTGCTTTTTTGGAGATGGATTTAATTCAGAAATATCCTCTCTTGATTTTCCTGTTTCTATTTGCATTTTGCTTTCAGCATCAATGTCTGGCTTTCTGTTTCTCTTTCTTTCCATGCTTTCCTTAGAGGTTTTCATTTTCCTTTCATTAATTTCAGAAACTTTCAAATCTGCTTCCATCTCTTTTCTTACTCAAAATTTACAATTTCTCTCAATTAGTTTAACATATGACCTTGTGCCTTTGTCCAGTTGATTCTTGTTTTTCTCACTCACCACTTAATGTTCATATTTCAAATAAATTCACATACATATTGAAACCCTGCCAGTTTGATAGATATTTAACCAACAAGGAAATTAGAATTCCAAAACCGATTTACCATATATATACACAATTACCATAAAGAAATCAACATGTGTCTTTTATGAAAAACTCAGTGATGACATGACACCTTCAAAAGGTAGTTAATGTCAAAATAAGAAAATTTGTTTCAGGTGTACAGCAATAATTTTTTTGGTTGTAACGATTAAAATTGAAAACATGTAAAAATAATTAAATTAATTTAGGGTTAATTGTTGCGTAACTGTAATTCCTCTTGTGTCAAACAGAAACTCGAATATCTTTTTATATTTTTGTTTTTCTATCTGAGAGTAACAACAAGATCAGATTTCAATATTATTCAAATTGGATACTTTTGAGGTCTGGGTAATTCTAAATTCATTAAGAGTTTAATCATCCATTCAGGAAATTTTCTGAGTTCTCATGACATAATATTTGATTTTGAAGATAAAGGAAACGAATTTCCGTCCTCCTAGACCTTTGAAGATCTTGAACTGTTAACTGAAATGTTTTGGACCAAGATTCCTCGAAAGTCCATTCTGTCTGTATAAGTGTTGTCGGCCTTCCTGTATTACAGCAGTGCCTTGGCTTGCCCAATATCTGAATGAAGCATATCGTGCCAGATCAAGATGTCATATTCTGTCAATCCCTGCAGATGTTTCTCGTTTCATACCTATATTAATTTTATAATTTTAAAATTGTAAAATAAGTAAAAATCATCCAAACAAAATTATTAAGAAATTCAAAATTTTTTTACAAAACTGTTACAGAAAACAAACTAATGTGTTGTTTTTAAGCTCATCAACTCTTGCTGGTTTTACATACAGCAAGCGGTGATGACAAATTCATTAAAAGCATCATTAAAATTCCAACATTTTTGTGGCTTGTGTCTCAACCAAGAACAAACTAACAAGCAAATTATTCAAACAAGAGGGCCATGGCCCTTAACAGTCATCTCACAATCGACGAATGGATGGACAAACCATAGAATTCACTGATGGTAGTCTGGCAAATCTGTTGAATTCAAATTTTTAACATTCTTTGAAAGTATCAGAAACTCTTAATTTTCTGAGCATAAAAAAAACAGTTGCACCATCATGTTACACAAAATACTACTGTGGTTATCATGTTGAAGCTTTGATCAGATTGTAAAGTAACATCAAATCATCTCTTTCTTTGCTTTAAAAGAAAAATCAAATTCCAATTCCTCATTGGTGTGATTTAAACATGAGAAGAAGTTAAGACTATTTGTTCTATGTTGGATTTTGGACCAAAACATAAAAATAAGACTTGTACAGGACAATCTCAGGATCACTTCATCCATGTTTGATGTCATTGCCACTCCCTGATAATGTTTAAGGCCAAATTTGGTTAAAATCTACCAAGGCATTAAGAAGGAGTAGCATTTTGATACAAAATATTGTCTAAATTCCCCTTTTGGGGCCCCGCCCCAAGTCCCTAGGGACTGAATCAAGCTTCAAGGAGGAGTAGCATTTTGGAGCAAAATATTGTCTAATTTCCCTACTTTGGGTGATCAATGTTTCAGACCAAATTTGGTTAAAATCTGCCAAGGTATTAAACATGAGTAGTGTTTTAAAGGAAATGTTTATAGACGGTAAACGGCGGACGGCTGTAATGACAGACCATGCTTAAAAGCAATGTCACGTTGACCCTTTGGGTCAGATGGTCTAAAAAATTATTCAGTAGGATATTAATAATTTATAACAAGATACTGTAGATGAAACTGATAATGCTAGTTATAGTAAAGGTTATTGAATCTTAAACTTTAAATATGACATCAAAACAGGAGATAATTAAATCCAGAAGACAGCACAGTCAATACATATATACACAAAATGTATGTATTTCTCATTGCGCCCACCACCATATATGCATATGTGATCTTTATTGTGTTCTTGAAGAAAGTTGTTTCTTTTCCTCTTCAGTTTTGTTGTAATAATAACAGGTGAACCACACAAACGATATCATGACCAAATAAGGGAAATCTATATATGAAATTTTAAAACAATGCATCTGGTGTATCTAAGGAAATTGTTCAAATAATCTGCAGACAAATGAAGCAAAGCCAACAATATATTGCCTTTTTTGTTTTATGTCAATCATCCAGTAATTAAACATGCAAAACGTAAGACCAAGGGGGCCTACAGATGATATCTGAAAGGCAATTATAATGTGTTTTAATGACAACTTTGATGCAACTTACTTTCTGCCATCAAGATGAACACCTGTCAGCCCTTTTCCTTTTGAACAGTTCCTAAATCAAACATGCACAACTACTGCCAAGGTCAACCTACAAATGAAATTTGAGAATCACCTTTTCTGAGTACTCTTCAGGAAAATGCAGTAATAAACTAGCATTACCTAATTAAAAGATGGTCACCAGTCAACCATTTTGTTTTATGATCAGTCCCAAATCAAACATGCCTAATGTTGGATAAAGGTGAACTTATATTGGAAATTTGAGAAAGATCTATCAAGACCCTTTCCCGTTTTGCCAAGATTTTTATCTATTTACACAAGATATTATTGTTTCATTTCATTTAATTTTCACATAGAGGAGCATAACTCCTGACCACTTAAAAGAACTTAAATGCAACAAGGCCATCAGAGACTGGTTATGCTACCCGAATGGGACAAAATTTAAGTATGTGAAATAACAAAGGGAAATAACTCCAAAATTTTGCAAAAGAGAGAGAAGGTTCTTGTGCAATGCACTTCTTGTTAAGATCTATATATCTATGAAGTTTTAAGCTGATACCTCTTATAGCTTTTGTGTTATGCTCCGGACAACATTATATAGACGGGTGGACGGACCGACTAACAGATGAACAGATAAAGTGGTGGCTATGTACCCTCAATTCGGGTTGCATAAAAATTCAAAATTATTCTAAAGGACACAATCCTTTATGGTACTGGTACTCAATATATTTTTAAGTAAATCCCTTGAAAATCAAATGCATATTTTCAGTCAAATTTTGTCTATATACTGAAGGAAAGACAAGATTATTAAAACATAACCCCTTAAACTTGTTTTGCAGAGAGTATAATTATAATTGAGGAAAATCCCTCCAGTTCTTCTCAAGAAATAGTGATACAGGCCTCAAAAGCTATTGAACTGTATATAAACATATATATTTTTTTTAAAAATAGTAAGTGAACTTGACCTTGACCCAACAACTCTAAAACTTGAACAGTGCCAACAGTGATTTTCAAACAAGAGGCCCAATGGTCCTGCATCGCTCACCTAGTACTCCATGTTCACAGGTACACCATTGGTATTAAAAGTTGGCACATCCGATCAATGTTAAACAATTGCAACTTTTACAACAAGCATTAGTTTCTAACTCTCAGTACTAATCAGTGGCAGTTATTACCTGGATTAAAGATTCTGGGAAGCTTTGATTAATAATGACATAACCAAACATCTGCCCATAATATATATTCCAGTTAAAATGTTACCTTGATCTTTGACCTGGTGACCCAGTTAGCTTTTTTTGAATTTTTGCATGCACACATATGTAGTTTATGTTAATTCCTCCCTATTTGATTTCATTAAGTTTTAACCATAACATATTTTAAAATTTTAAAAGTGAGAAATCAACAATTCCTTACTCTCTATGTTATAGTAGTATGCCTTTGGTTGAAAATCCTAGGCCTTTTGGTTAGTGACAAGAAGTAAATTGCTGATGTTGATATATTAGGTTGTAGTTAAAACATCAAAAATATTTCACATACTATATGCTGGTGCAATATATTTACAATTTTTGTAAAAAATCTGTAATATGACCCCTGTGACCTTGATGGCCAGGATCATCTAAGGTTTGCTTATGCTCAAACCCACTTGTGGAACTTGAGGAGAAGTTTTGAAATAGCTGTTGTTCAAGGAAGCCATGATTGTTCAATCATGTTCCACTCTTGATAACCTGGCATGCAAGTGTTGCATAGCATCTTATAGTGAACACACAAATGTATTTGATAACACTAAGCTGCAACCAGTTGAGCAATCATATCTCTATTTTCTGCCACTTGAACTCGTGTGAGATCATGATTGACATGTTTTCTGCAACTACATGCGATATGCCAAACTTTTGACACCTTGTTGGATGGTGTCAATGTCACCTGCGGATACTGTACTAAATAGAAAGCTCAAAGCTTTCCCTACTATAGGCAGTAAGCTTGGCTTATACCTGTTATTCATGGTTTTAACTTTGATGAATCTTTCTCTTACCGAGCGATGAACCGTATCCAAATTTTCAAACTCTTGTTTACGTTCGGATATGATTTCCCGTGCAATGTACAGGTCCAACAAATTACAAAGCCTATGACAATTGATAATGTATGTTTTCCTGTCATCATACAGACAGTATTTAAAGTCGCAGATTCCAATTATCACCAAACACCAATTATCTTCCAGGTAAATCCTTTCCGGAGTATAAAACAGTCACAAATAGTGTCATCCTGGTCACGGCACCAAAAATACACTTGTGTTGCAAAGCATCGTATAGTGACCACACAAATGTATTTGATAACACTAAGCTGGTTGTTCATTGTTTGTTAAAAGTCATAGTACATAACCATCCAAGATGTTTCTCCCGCTCTCTAACTCGGGGCCATCCATTGCCCCGCTCTCCTTTCTGCCCAGTGTCCCGGCTTCAACTTCCCCTCAGACTCTCTAACAGTACCTATAATCCCCTATACTTAAGCTTTACAACTTTCCTATCATCACACCTATTGTGCATACAATTAAAAAGACACATGAATTTAGGAGTACCTGTTATCAACTCCCCACCCTTGATCTACCTTGTACATTGTTTCTTATCTTGTTTACTTATATATCTGTTCGACAGCGCGAGACATACAAGAGAGAGCATCTATCTGTCCTGATGAATATCACTACCTGTCACTCACAGGATTGTTTTCTCGGTCCAGCATTGACTGACTTTTGATCTTATGTACTTTAAACTAAGATGCTGTTCTCTACGATACACACTATTCCAAAGTTACCATTAAACTTATTTTTCTACTCATTTTGTTACACAAGGAGTCTTACAGTTGGAGGAAACTAGAGTATCAGGGAAAATCCAGACCTGTTCAGGCAGGTTTACCCCACCCCCACCCTCCCGGCCCCCATGTTCACACTTTTTCTATGAATCATGTTACTAGACAAGGTATGAATTTTTCATATACAAAAATCTATTCAGTCTCGAATGAATAACTTTCCACATTTCAGTGCAGATACTTGCCTAAATTTTTAATGTGATAATGTCTTGAAATATATAAATATGGTTCACATGCCACAATTATGAAATGTCTACTTCAGAGCATGTGCACAACAGTGCCTTTCGAAAAATTAAAATGATAGCACTGGTAATCATTATCTCAGGATCGTTCTTGACAAGTTACAATTAAATCCCATAAGAAGAGTTGGAAAAGCACATGTTTAAAAAGCATATTGTAACATATATTGCTGACAACCCTTGAGGATTGCTAGATAGGTGACTGGTCTACAATTTTAGAATTCTGGTAGAATATGGTTTCCATCTCATGAGTTCTGTTTGTGGTAGAAAAATTGTTTAAAGAATTTACTGTCACTAATTAGAAATATTTAAAGGGAATAATAATCATATTCCCATATTACAAAGAATATGCATATGATTTTGAATATACATCTATTACATAAATATAACAAGAGGCCCATGGGCTGTAACGGTCATCTGACATAAAATACAAGATTTCAAATTTTGAACTTTTCATGATGGTAGCCATGATGGATTTTGGACCTAACCGAAATTAACAAACTTTGGTCAGGATCATGTCAAAATCATTTAGTAAAATGGGGCAAAGCCACAATTGGCCGGGTTGCGGGATGAGTGCAATGTTATATGGTATTTATAAGAAAGTTAAGGGTGTTTCATTTGTTGAGTATGTAGATTATTTGTTATAAGAGAGAAAGTTTGGTTGTATTTTATGAATTGGTGCAGAAGAAAGGCATTTGAAGACAGAAGTTGCAGTCATTTTTGATTCAGAGATGTTTAAAAAATACACAATGGACATCTACGGGCCCCAGGTGATTTATATGTGGAATTTCAGAAAGATTCTTGTAGTAGTTTCTGAGAAACTGTGATAACAAGAAAAGTTCCAGAAAATGACAAAGTTCCAAAGCCCGGAAAATTGACTGGAATGAATCCATAATAAGAGGTGCACATCTTAAACATATATATAAACATCCTACAAATTTCAAGTTTCTACGTCAAAAACTCTAGGAGGAGTAGATCCTACAAAACTGGTATCCCTTTTCCCTGCCAAACTGCAGAAAATGACTGAGTTCCAAAGCCCAGAAAATCCAGCAAAATGTCCGGAATGAATCTATAATAAGAGGTGCACATCTTTAACATATATACAAACATCCTACAAAGTTTCAAGCTTCTACATCAAAAACTCTAGGAGGACTTGATTCTACAAATTGGTACCCTTTTCGCTGTCCACCCATCCCCCCACCTGCCTGCCATGCGCAACTCTGCCAATAAATGTAATATGGAATTTTAGTCCCTATCCAACAAACGTTTGTATAGTACAAGATACTTCCGATAATGCTAGGGACCTCATTTTCCGAGATGATAAACTACGAAAGGTGATGCAGTTTTTTTTGTATGAAGTATTACAAAGAGTTGTATACAGTACAGTATTTTGCTGCAATCACAATACATGTAAAATAGGCTGTCACTCCAGAACGGACAGATTATAGCCTATATATGTAGTTCTATGTCTTTCCGAGGAAATAGACAACAGTTACCTCCCCTACTAATTCAATTTGTCAGTCATGTGATTTTTACACAGACCACTACTATAGCCTGTGATTCTGTTACTAAAATGTACAATATTGACATGACTGGCATGCCTTTGAAGTGAGTCGGTGTTGATTATTCTAACTTCAGTGTACTGATTTTACACGTCTGATATTCAAAGTGACATAAACTTAAAAAGCATATAATATTGAAAAATACATAGCAAAAATATATGACAGGGAAGCTTCCTTTACCAAAGACTTCAGTGCCTATTACATAGCTTCATATATTTACATATATATGTCCATATATGTGTAGGTTTGAACAATAAGGAAATCAACATCTACAGGTATGAAGATTGTATATGAAATTAATTATAAATACAAGCAACTATGCACAGAAAAGCATTTATTAAACAATTCTTTGTTTCACTTTCTCTATCATCCTATATATGATTGAAATTACAAGTTTGGAGTTTTTTCAACAACTGATATAGTTATGCCATCATCCTTTCATAAACATTCATAGCTTTTCTCTCTTTCCTCATTTTTTCTTTCTTTCACTTTTTTCTTGTGCTTTCTTATCCTTATCTTTCTTTCTTCTTCCCAATCAGTTTCTGCTTTTGAACCAAAATATCCCCCAATCTCCCTTTCAATTAATTTCATTCAATCTATTGTACATTGATTTATCCAGGTATATGAAATACAAGTTCTCTTTGAACTATTTTCAGAAATGTTAGTTATGATGTTTTATCAAAATTCGAATACATCTTGAACAATTACGTCTTGAACGTATGCTTAATTAAGAGAGTATAGATGTAAAGGAACATAGCTGATGCATTCCATCCCAAGACGGTTCCTCATGTACTGAATGTCTGGAATTTAAAAAATCAAAACTGAAAAAAAAAAACTTACATCACAAAAATAAAGTTTATGGGCAGGAAAACAAATGGTCACACAAAACATAATCCTATCTGATCCTGTAAATTGTCTTACCAATCCAAATGTCGGCACACATGTACATCTGTAATGTTACTTGACATGGGGACTGCCATTATATATGTAATGTGCTAAAAAGAAGCTCATAAAAACATGTGTGTTCTTTATACAGTAAGATCAAGTTCTATACCTAAATAATTCCTTGTGTACTCGCAAACAAAATCCTGGTAGCCCTTCATCCTTGCATCCTACTGACCTAATATCAGTACCCTGGCCCTTTTGGCAATTGAGGAGTCATTAAAACATTTTAACATATTTAACCCCTGTGACCTTGAAAGTAGATCAAGGTTATTCATTTAAACAAACTTGGTAGCCATTTATCTCAGCATGCTAAAGCCTCAATATCAGTACCATGAACCTTTTGTCAATTGAGAAGATGTTGTTTAAAGATTTTGATATATCTGACACCTTCGACCTTGAAAGTAGGTCTAAGGCAATAATATGAACAAACTTGGTAGCCCTTCATCCAAGCATGCTACCAACCTAAAATCAGTTCCTTGGTATTTTTGGTTATTCAGAAGTTGTTTAAAGTTTTTGACATATTTGACACCTTTGACCTTGACAGTCGGTTTAAGTCATTAATATTAACAAAAACAAAAAACCTTCTGTTTATTGAGAAATCATTTAAATGGAAGGTTTCAAGCATGGCACATGACAGAGGACAGTGCAGGACAACGGTCAAAACAAGATGGCTATAGATCTTCCTGACCCTTGTGGTCAGATGACCTAAAAATGTGATTTGCCATTATAAACTATCGTAAACTTTACCCCTTTCCAAGGGGGGAAATAGGAGACCTTGGGGTCATGAAATTTACACTTTTGCGGGGTTTTCCATAAGAGCTGGTCGCCGGCCAATTTGACCGGCTACTTTGATCATTTGGCCGCCTACACCAATCCAGTTCCGTAATAATGTTCCGTACACGACTACACGTACACGGCAAGCCAGCCTCCTAATTTCACTACACAGCCTACTACTAACAAAATTATGGAAAACCCTGCTTTTGATAAAGCATCTTACAGCCTTTCCATTCATGAAGAGTTCCTGATTCTAACATACCTGGGATTTGAGAAGATATTTCTAAATTTCAGCCAATTTCACTCATTTTTGGCCCCACCTAAGGTTAGCCAAGATCAATAGGTGCATCCCATTAAACTGTCACTATAGATTTCATTCCCTATTAAACCAACAGGTGTATATATATATATATATATATATATAACAACTACTAATACTAAAAATTACTGCTCTCAATTGTGACACACAATACAAATGTGTTCCATCAGTGATTGAGGAAAATTCATCTCTCTGCAACTCAACCAATTTTTAAAAAGTATCAGCATGGAACTTGGTACAAGGAAATATTACAATCATATCAACAATACATCCTTTGATGTTCCTAACCTCCTTGATTATTTTAGGCAAGTGTCTGACGACATTTCGCATTTACCTTCACTATTTGTACAAAAGTGTGCCAAGCTGTTCTTGTTAGGGTAAAATAGTCATAATTCTGTCATTTTTTTATACATGAAACTGGAACTTTTATATTAGTGCATTACGACCACATTAGGTACATATCTTTTCATGTCTCTTACTTCACTTAATATTTCATGGTATATCATTGAAGACGTTGCCCTTGAGTGCAATAAACATTGGATATGTGTTCGGCTAGTGATCTTTAGGATGGTCCAGTCTTTATAGTATAAATTGTACCCATAAAGAATAGTAATGTATATATCAACAATGTTAATATTTTCATAATTTCACCAAGTTTGCTACAACTATATATAGACCATCAAACAAGTTCTTCTTTTACACTTAGTAACTCTATCTGTCTAAGTGTAAATGAGCAAGCCAGCTTGTACTGGAAGTCATAAATGTGTAAGTAGGACATACACATTACAACTACATAAATGAAATATTCTTCACCAGTACATTTGTTACACCTGTAGCACATTTCTTTTATATTAGTTTTAAAGTTTTCCGGAAGTACATTGTAAACAGGAATGAAACTGATAACAAGCCATACCTGTCACAGTGTGTTGAATAATGCTTCACATGATCAAACAGCATGTGAACCAAAAGGGTACAGAACAATGTTTTTGACATCTTATAGCAGAGTACAACACCAAAGGCCGTTTATGGTTCAAGTAGACGGAGTCTGTTATTCCATTGGAAATTGTGTTTCATTCCAGTACTAGTTTACTAGTTTAGGGGCAAAGTCACTTCATTTCAATAACTTCGCTAGCCTTGAACTAAGGGACCTTCCTGCTAAATACTAAATGCTTCAAGGAACTTTGGTAGTAGAGAAGTCACTTAAGGCAAAACATTGATGAATGACGGACACTACAACATAGCAACAAGCTCACTTGCGTCTTGGTGTGAGCAAACATTCAGCCAACATGGCTAACATATACTTGAAGCAGACTAGACATATTCTTGGATTTGAAACAGACACCCTTACACAAATAAGGAAATTATTTCCAAATCGACAATCCTTTTAAATTTTCCATGTATGAAAATTTGAATAGATATTGTTTATTTATACACAGATTGATTTATTGTTAATGAAATTTTGAATTTCTTTTCTTTTCTGGACTACAAACCAACTTTTACAATGCAGTAAACACTGTTCTTTATCTGTTGCCAATGGTGTATTGCTTTCCTCAAATCAAGTTAATAATGATTAATAATATTTGCTTAAACTTCAATCGATGGAGATGAAAAAATAGAATAATAACTCTTGATTAAAGTTGTGTCTTATCCTTCTATAATGCAATTGATTTCAAAGATACATTAATAATGGAAGTAAAATTTCTTTACTGACCATGACAAAAGTAATTACCACTTCATCAAGTGAACACACTTTTTTCAAATTTCAGTGAAATCTGCTGGCAGCTTGTGTTGAAATTCCAAATCTACTTTGAAAGCAATGAGGGTCACACATGACGATCTGTAAAACAAAACAAAATGTCTTCAGAACAAGTTCAAACATGATAAGATGTAAACATGCTTTTCATTTAAAATCAAATTTTAACAGTAAAAAGAAAAAAAATCTAAATGTTTATTATTTTGAATTTTTCGGAGGGAAATACCAATAATACAATTATGTCCATTAAGGCTTGATCATATAATAACAATAAGCTTTTTTATTTCTGAAAACTGAATGAAAGTGTTGAAAAATGTATCATAATTACTTGTCTCAGAAAAATTGTGACTTGTTATTTCACACAAATTCTTGACCCACGGTCCGTATATATGCATTAGTTATTGAGGTACCCAGCCGAGCTGAGAGCGTGTTTCAACTGGACAGGGAAATGTCCACCGGACTATTTCTACTTAAATTTCTAGATTGGTCAGTTCCTAACTTAGTACATATACTTGGTTAATTAATCTCTTTCATCAAACACACTTGGAAAAAATAAAACATTTCACTGTTACGAAGATCTACGGCCCCTTGAATATAAAAAAAAATCATATATTAAAATGTGCACCATATGTTCAGTTTATCCTTCGGAGGAATAGTGCCCATTATCATCATAATACATATATACGGACCATGAGTAGAGAATTTGTGCCCAATCCATGTGGCTTGTATAGACAGTTCAAAACTTATGATCAAGGTGAACTTACGTAATAAATTTGAGAATCACTCATCTAGTACTTCAAAAGACAGATACAACATGAACAAACTATAAAAGTCAAATCCAAGATGGCCACATAGTGTCATTTTTTTTTCAAACAGGCAAAGGGTACAATATTCAAATAGGAACCAAGAGGAACTTAAATATCATGTTATTCCTCAACTAGGGATTAACCCTGGGTCTTCTGGAACACAAGAATACAATACTGACTAAGCGTAACAAAAATCTTCCCTCAGAAGTTGGTAGGAAGCCACTTATTCACCAGGACTGCATGTGTCAGTCTAAATTACTGCACAACTACTTAAGGTGTCAGAAATGAGGTTGGTAGTCATTGCCAAAATTGTTGTCATGGGATTGTGTTTGAAATTAACTAGACTGCATGTTTCCATTTACCAGCTCTACAAGTCTGATAGCAAGTGCAGTGCGTGCTTTATGGTATTGTGTATGTGGAAATTCACAGTATTTTAAAACAGAATCCACGATCAACTTTAACTGTCATCCTTATGATAATTAATACCTTCTGTAGATGCAAAGACTTCTATGTAACAAATATGTAAAAATTCAATGAAAAATCAAAAACAATGGAAACTATTTTTCGGCTATAATACCTCTATATACAAAACTGTATATAAAAATCAGACAATATCTAGAAAAATTGCCATGGCAATGAATCATATACAGTGATATATGGTGCATCCAATTATACCAAATTTGGTCAAAATCAGATAATATCTAAATTTTGACGAATCAATGGCCAGAATTATGTTACTATAGTTACTGTTTCTGGAACGCCTAATGTATCCTACTATAGACATTTATTGAATTGAATGACCAAGGAGTAATGGCTATTTACATTACAATATGTTTATAGCAACCAGGTATCATTGCGACTACAATTTCAAAAAAGTGAAAAAAACTGTTTAACATGGAAAAATTGTATTGTTTAATGACAATCATGCCAAGTTTCAAGTCAGGTGCTGGAAAAACAGCTTCTTGTTAAAATGCAAAGCTGGACAAAATTTTGTTAATTCTTTATATAAAGGGGGATAACTCTCTGAAAAGGAGGAGAAATTCAAAGTTACTTCAGTGGGCACAACTCCATATTATACTGACAATTCCCACAAAGTTTTAAAATGATCCATTGTAAACTGAGTAGTTACATAGGAGACCAGACTTGTGTTCATTTTTTTTTTATGTTGAAGGGAGATAACTTTCTGAAAATATGGAGAAATTCAAAATGACTTCAGAAAGCAAGTCTCCTAGTCTCCATATTGTACTGGTCATTCCAACAAAATCTTAAAAAGATCCATGTTAACTAAGCAAACACATAGACAGGTTTGTATTTTTTCCTCATATATCCACATATCAAAATCTATTTTTGACCTATTTCAATAGTTAAGAACAGGTGACTTCTTCATATTTCATTAGAACATGCGTCACTAATGTCTGATCATTGCAGTAAAGTACAGATCCAACCACACACAGGCCAAGGTATATGACCAGACTGAAGCATGCTTCAATATATTGCATCATGCCCAATAAATGAAAAGAAATATATAAATATATTTCACATCACTGGCATTCAAAGTCATTACAAAGTTTCAGTTAATTTGACACCTAGCTTTGGCATTGATTATTGATCAAAGTATTCATTTTTCATTAACTTTTATGGGCTTTTTCTCAGAAACCTATTAACCAAATATCATTATTGTAGTTATTTTGGTTCATTGCATTGGAAGAACTTTTGTTTTAAACAATCATTGGATATTGACCTCTTTGTTGACCTTAATCCATTGATGTATCAGTCAAATATGATTCTAGGTCTATTGCTTCACTATATAAAGTTGTGTGAAGGTTTCAAGAAAAAGTTACCCTTGTCAGAATTAATATAGGTCCCAAATGGTCTTTTTTTCACAAATTTTGACAAGGCTTCAGCCCAGAAGCCAACATATGTCAAATATCATCGTTCTAGGCTTTTTGGTTCATTAGAATCCATTTGAAATTATTTTTTCTTCTGTGATCTTGAATATTGATCAAGGAAAAATTTTTCTGCCAACTTTGTCAGCCTCTAAATCCAAGAAAATGTATTGTTAAAATACTACATTATTTGAAGGTTCTAAGAAATTTGATCCCTGTAACCTTGAATATGGGCCAATCTACTTTTTTTCTGTAAACTCAGCATGTTGATTATTGTGAAGAAGTCATTTATTTTTTTTAATTGAACTCTATGACCTTGAATGTGGAGTATAGCCATGTCCTTTTGCAAATTTCCAGGCTTTTTGGTTATCAATCAGTGGTTATTTGAAGGGCTTATCTTTGACTCATTTGACCTTTAATATGGGTCAAGATTATTTCTTTTTGCAAATTGCAAACTTTGTCAGATTTCATCTCAGGAACTTTCCCAATTAATATCTTAATTCTAGACCTTTTGATTGTTGTGTAAAAGTCACCTGAAGGGAAATGTTGATAGATTGTTAGGTGGCAGTTGGTGGGTAACAGATTGGTGATGAACACTGCAACACAGCAATAAGTTAACTTGGCCCTTCAAGGCCTAACAAACAAAGTGAATACAGAATGTGATTTTGTGATGATGTCATTTTCAATAATTTCTCACAAAGAGGGTTTTTATGTTAAAAAAGATATCAGAGAAATATTCATGATTTGTTGTATGGAAAAAAATAAACATATGAAAATGGTAATAATAAGTCAAAATATCAAGTGGGAAAGCAGTGCTGTTTATTTTAATGATAAATTAAAACATATCAAGTTTCAAAGAAATTGTTTGAAAACTGAGGGAGGAAATATATCTGGAAAAGATAATAATGCTGTAAAAAAGGCAATAATTCTTGCCAAAATTGTACAACAGGCCAAATGGGCCTGCATCGCTCATCTGGTATTCAATGTTCACCAAAGCTAGAATCAGTGTTAATATGACAAATATATTGACAAAGTGGGCACATACAATAAACTTCAACCAGGTTCCATAAAAAGAGCTTCTGACACTCAACTCTAAACAATGACTTATGACCTGGATTAAAGGTAAATGCCATTTCTTTTTTTCTCTATATTTGTTTGGCCTTGACCTACATTCCTCTTCACCTAAGATTGTGTCAGACCAAAATACAAACATTCCTACAGGAAGAAGTTGATGGACGACGGACATTACAGAATGCTTTTAACTCACTTGGTCCTTCAGGCCAGGAGAGCTAACAAAAGAGTCATCTTTCAAAATTTTTTTAATCAAACTGCTGTGTAGAAAAACACCACTTCATGTTATGCAGGTTCAAGTCTATCCATTGTAAGTTTAATATATTCGACAAATATCAGTTGAAAACTGAGACAGACAATCTAGATCTCCAGACAAGATTAACATTTTGAAAACAACAAAGGGTAGTTACCCTTCCAAATACAGTCAAACCAATTCTAACAGTTGTTCTGGAAAACACAACTTTATGTAATGTAGCTCGACATATCAGTTATACCTAGATGGTGTTGCATGAGATATTAATAAATCTTATGTAACAGAGGTCACTATTTATTTCAATACTTCTGCTAGGAATCCAACCTGGGACCCCTAGCTTACCAGTCGGACGCTCAACCATTCCAGCTAAAGAGAAGCTGTCTCTAGCTAAGTAGTATATTGCGGCTAGTATTTTACCAGGGTTGCAAACCATCCCCTCCCCCTCCTCCAGGAAATAACTTGTTTTCAAGGTCCTAGGGGTTACAGCGATGCTGGCTGGGCATGGCTAAATACTATTCCCGGATCCCTACATGGGCACCAATGTTACAGAGGTCACTATTTATTTCGATGCTTCCACTAGAAATCAAACCCATGACCCCTGGCTTACTAGTCTGACGCTCAACCATTCGAGCTAAAGAGAAGTTCTCTCTAGCCCTGTAGTATATTGTAGTTAGTTACAGCCAGGGTTACACTTACACGTTGAATTTGGCCAGGACACACATCATGGATGGTGGATAATTGATATTCATGGTTGACCAGAAAATAATATTCAACTTTTATTGTTTGAATATCATCATATTCCAAAAGACCTTTATCATATATTAAGGTTTTAAGCTTAACGTTTAGGTAAAGTGTACTGTGTATCGGCAATTTATTTGTTAACTTAAAGCAATTTGATCTGAAACTTAACTCATAAATGTTTGCATACCAAGGAAGTTTGTTGCTCATTTACAGAAACATTTCCCCAACCTCTATTAATTGAAATGTCTAGTTGAACAAAGTCTATTATGGAAAATGAACTCTATAGTATGTTTAAATATCCTGGAAATTTTCAAATGGAGAAATTAATGTTCCCTAACATATTCGTTTCGATGTAAATGTGCTTACAAACACTATCAACGTATTTTGGAAAACTCTATAATTAATATAATTAATAGGTAGTTAGTACAGCAAAATAAAGCTATGACAGCAATAAATCAACATGTGCACGACCAAATATCAAAATTGGACAAAGAAAACTGCTCACGTACATCTATCAAATGTGACATTTCCACAAATCAAAACAAAATAATGGCGTGCAGCGCTAGCTGACACCGTCTGCTCCCGCCGTTTTCATCTCCGACAATCATGAACATCTTGGATCTATGTAGTAGGTACTTGGTTTCAATAACACAAGTGCTTTCAATAAATAAAGTACCTTCACATTAACTTACCACTCAAAAGGTAGTGAAATTTGAAGGCTATGTTCATTAAAACACATTTTTTTATCGAAGTCAAGAATGGTCCTTGTGTATGAAGTTACTGAGATATTTTGCGATCTAATACACAGAACAGCGCATGGTATTCGAGATTACTATTTAAGCACTGAGCAAATAGTATTGAAGAAAACTACAACACAACAAACCTCGTTCCTCAACACCATGTGATAATGAAGTCTTGATTCACAAATTTTCTCACAAATGATTTTCAAACCGGAAGAAGACTCGGATTTTCTAATATATAAAACAGGAAGCAAATCCGGAGAAACTGACCTTTAAACGTTCAAATTAGTGAAAATTGTAGACAAATTTGCATCTAATTCTCGGTAGATAGCCTCAATATATTATCTGTTGATATATGCACTAATCCTTATTACTTTATATATACTACTTTGGGTGACACCTATTTTAAAAATTAAAATTAGCTCTTAATATATTCCCAAGCCACACTTCTTTGTTTAGCACTACGAGTAGTCTCCCTTTGTCCGTTTGCACATGTATAAATTATATCTTTTAACTGGTTATAACCTAAACACACTAGCTATATCGATCCGTGGCAGTTCCTGAAACACTATATACCATAACCCAACGGATTTATTTTCATCGATAAATGAATTAGTTAAAAATAAATAAATAACAAAATATAAACATTCAAATTCACGTCAACTATCGGCCATCAAGCTCATCTATAAATTATACAGATACTGCTAATAGAGAGAAACGAAGGAAAATAACTCTGGGAGATCGGATTGGTCGGTGCGTTTGATCCCGCAATAATTGGTCTGAGTGTTAGGTCTTCCGGGATTGGCGTATTCTGAACTTCGCGACATCGCAAATTAATTTTATTATTTCGTAGTAGTCGAAATTGGTTCAGTGTTGTTTCTATTTCAGTAATGTGACAAATAATCGTAGACAAGTTTATCATTTGCTTTGATCATTTATGTAAATTTTGATTTTCGTTTACTTTTGTGTTCTCCATTTTTAAGTGTTCCATCGTGTCCGTTTTAGAATTACGACAACTGACTCCACATTGTACAATATGTCCATGGTACCGGATATAAATACCGAAGCTGTCTGAGATTGAGACCGTGTGAACAAGTGACCTTATGGTTATTGTCAACATCAATTCAATTAACTGTTAATCTGATAACGCTTCGTCTCCCTCCTCTTCGGATATGGCTAATCAGTTATCAGCAGTGATTTAATGTCCTCGGTGTGTTGGGAGGATTTTACAAATGAGAAATTCCGACCACTGGGTTACAAAGTTCAGAATTCAAAGTTTACGGTTCAGCATCATAACTACTGAATGAAATTCCTTTGGTCTGGCACACTAGCTGTATACTATAGAATAATGTGTATGAAATATTCTTGTACAGAATCAGAGTTTAACCAGAGCGTACACTATCCCTTAACTTATTCACATAATGAATAATGGATCTGTACAAAGAGTAGTTGCATTAATTAGCAGTGAACCAAGAGCTGAGTAAGCCTTTTACACGACTTACTGAGATTTGTATCCATAGTGGATTTCTATGTAGTCTCCATCATTTTGGTCTTCCCTGGCTGATCATGACTGATGGTCTGCCATCACGTGTAGTGCAAGGTAATATCTGTGCATCACTTGGCATTAACACCTTCTCGGATAATGACGTGTTTCTGCTTTTTTCTGTGATTTTTTGTCTCCGCGCAGTAATCATGCTTATTTCATTACTATGATCGTGTACGTGTTTGGGTTGAAAGAAGATGTACTTTTGTCACGATTTTTCCTGATTGACGATATCACCGATCTGTAGATTTGATTCTCTCGCATGTAATCTCGTTTCTGTAAACCGTTTCATTTTTGCTTTTTGAGTTTGATTACGGCCTCTGATGTCTTTGTCATTTGTGTTTGTCTCATACGATAAGGTAGCAAAAAGAAAACAGCTCGTTGCATAGGGTGTAGTACGGTAGTTTCTGAGAAAATTTGATAATTCCTGTTTCCATGGTTTGTTTTCTGCAGAAGCCGCTCTGATATATTTGCCTACTGTTTTTATGAATCGCTCGACTTTGTCGTTTGCTTGCGGCCATAATGGTGTAATTTTTCTGCAGGGAAAACAAGCATATTCAGCGAAAGTCCTTTATTCATCACTATTAAAAGGAGGTCAACTATCCGTCGGATGATTTCTGGTACTCCAAAAACAGCGAATATTTTGTCCAGTAAGGGTACATCAGCACGGACAGTGGTGGTAGTTACTGTTTCAACAACAGGATATCTTCTGTAGTCATCAATGAGAACCATTCGATAACATCCTGATGGAAACGGCCCATAAAAATCCATGCTTAATTGCGTCGATGATGGCTTTGGGAATTCAGCATACATAATGATTCCGATGTTTGGTTTTTTAACGACGCTAGAAAGGGTTTACATTTTCTCCACTTCTTATTGATACCGGAAAACCTTATTTTATCTGTTGTTTGTTTTAGCTATTCCTTGGTGTGCCTCGTATGCTAAATTTATTGCTTTTTGTTGTAATGGATGAGGTATTGCGATCCTTCTGTCACGAAGTAAGATTTCACCTTCATTCAATGATGCTATCCTTAACTCATGTTTTATTCTTGAGAATGTTTCTATTGCCTTGCTTGTTAATATTGTTCTACTTTTCATCTTTGACACATTTCATGACTTTCTGCAGGATCTTGTCATCTTTCGCTGCGGCACATAGCTCTATAAGTGCCAAGACTTTTTGGACAGAGTTCACAGCAATATAGTTGACATATTTTTCTGCTTGTTTTGAAAGTTGGTCATTTGGACTTTCAACAGAATGCCTTGATCAATAATCAACATCGCTGTTCTTTTCTGGCTTGTCCAGGGCCCGTATTCATGAAACCGTTCTAGTGCTCAAGCATGAATTTTTTGCTCAAGCCTTATGTCTTGTTAAAGTTAAAAATTAATAAATAAGACTGATTTTGCCAAAGATTAAAAAAAATTTTGAAAGGACTTAAAATCAAAGTTATATTCAATGTTTATATTTGACATTTGTATTATTTTATATGATTTAGGCGAATTAAGAAAAAAATTCTGCTTGAGCACAAAATCTATGCTTGAGCATGAGAATGGTTTCATGGATTTAGGCCCTGGACTTTGAAATTGTAAGCAAGCGTAATCACGAACGTCCAATTCTTGCTGGAGGTTTGGATTTCGGATTGTTGAATATACATTCAAGCGGTTGTTGGTCACTTTCTAGGGTGAATGAGTATCCGAACAAATACAAAAGGAAATGATCACAACTCCACACTACTGCTAGCGTTTCCTTTCAATTAATGAGTATCTTTGTTCGACCTCTATCAATGCTTTACTGATATACGCGATGATCTTGCCATCCTGTGACAGTATTGTATCTAATTCAACCGGGCTGGCATCCTCGAAAAGTCTCCTGTGTTTAGATGGACCAAAGTACGACATTACTTTGTCACCTGTTCAATTGTGCTTTAGTTTGTCAAAGGTTTTTGTTGAACTGGCGCCAAGTCCTACTGCTTCTTACATTTAAGTGTCTCAGCGGTTCAGTGATGGTTGAATAGTTTGATAAAAATCTACCTACATAATTTGTCATACCAAGAACGCTACGTACCTCTACTGCTTTAGTTTACAGGATATTTCCTTATGGGCTCGACGTTTTTGGGATGAGCTGATATTTCGTCAGCACAGGATGTATATCCATAGAATTCCAGCTTTTGCTTGTTGAACTCGCATTTACTTTTATTAAGTGTCAGATTATTTTCTGTGAGTCGATCGAACACGGCACTTAAGTTTTCATCATGCTCCTGCTATGATTTTTCATTATACTATGACGTCATCACTAACATTTCCTACACCTGTCAGTCTTTCGAGGACAGTCCTAATCGTGTTTTGAAAAATCTCCGTTGCGGACGATATTCCAAATCAATGACATTTCTAAAAGTTGTGATGTTTCTGTAATCCAGTAGGTGATAACCGGAGTTGAGATTTAATTTGCTAAAAACTTTATATCCATTCCGGTCAACGACGATGTCGTCTATAGTTTGTGTTAAGTATCGTTCCATTCGCATAACCTTGTTAGCTTTACGCATATCCACACAAGGTCGTATTTCTCCAGGATTTTTCGACTTGGGTGCCACTACTACTTTAGTATTTGAAAAACCATGGTGTAAGACCAAACACTCATTCAATGATATCCAAGTCTTCCAGCCGTTCGATCTCCGTTTCTACTTATTTTTAACATGAAATGGAATTCTGCGCTGAGGTTGACTGTTTGGTTGAATATCTGTGTTGAGGTGTAACTTTATTTTGATATCCTTACACTTTCTGATTCCGGACGAAATGAACGGTACTGATAACTTATTTTTTTCAGATTCGATTTTGTTGAAACATTCGCGATTACAGAAATGATTTGTAGCTTAACTGCAGCTTCATAACTGCACAAATTACCATGTTTCCCTTTTACAACATAGAATAACACAGTTGTAATTTTGTTTGAAGATCCATAAGCGGTTATTTTTGTTTTTGGTTTCTTTAGAGTTGACTTGCCTTTATTCATTGTGTAGGTAACATTTCCAAATATATTTACGCTTGCTACAGTGTCTTCAAGGAGTTTAGTCTTGAAACCATTAACTGTTAATGTGACGTCGGGTTTTTCTGGTTTCTTGTTAATCACAACTTTTTGTATGTCATAGAGATGTTCATCAATGACGGACTGTCTCTGTGCTGTGTAGAGTTGGTTTACTTTCTATCTTTTTACCAGCTTCTTTGATTTAAATACTTTTAAGAACTGAATGCTTATTTTACGAAAGTAACATACCTTTGCTTTCGCAGGACGGGGCTTGTCCTTTTGAGGGAACGTTTCTCCGCAGTTCCGGCATATTTCTGATGATATGTTCTTGGATAGTGGTTGCTAAAATTTATATGACTTTGAGTTACTTAATTTTGATGTCTTTGCTTAAACAGCGTTGGTTTCTTCTCTCTTAACTATGTCATGTTCAATCTCCTTGGCTTCGTTCTCAGCTATTTTTAAGCTGCAGGTCATAGTTATCAACCTATGGAGATTCGTGTCATCTTGAAGAGCGTTTCGTCTTAACTTTGGAGATACACAGCATTGAATAATCTGTGATTTGATTTTTCTCTCTCGGTACCTGGAAACTCAGCTTTGTCCAAGTTATCTGGGTCTCGTATGGAAGCTGTC